TGATTTCCATGAGAGGAATATCATTTTTTGCATTAATATTTTGTTAGAAAATGGATACCCGCTGCATTTGATCTTTGAGAGCATAATAAAGAGAATAAAGAAATTCTGTCATTCTCAGTTTAGATNATTTACTAAAAACAATAATTCTGAATCTGAGAGGAACATTGTTGTTTTTCCATATATTAAACATGTATCCNAGACCGTTGGTGGAGCATTCAAGGGCTCAGATATTATGATCGGTTATAAATGTCTTAATAGACTCAATAAGTTAATTAAGTCGCATAAGGACGTCACTCCACATGATTTTCAAACTAATGTTGTTTATAAGCTACAATGCAATGATTGCGCTGCGTCATATGTCGGACAGACAAAAAGGCGTCTTAAAACGAGAATAAAAGAACACATAAATAACATTCGTACATCTCATTTATCTGTTGTGTCACAACATAGATTAGATCAATCACACTCGTTTGATTTTAATAACGTTGACATCTTAGATCGTGAACCTAATTATTACAAAAGACTCATCTCGGAGATGGTACACATTAAATTACAGTCTCAAGGTCTAAATTCAATTAACGATGTAGACATGTTAGATCGCTCGTATGTGAGTCTTTTAAACAACATGAAATTTTAAACACAAACAGTTAAACTTCCTTATTGTGGTGGGAGTTTGATTATATATAACCGCCTTGTATCTCTGTCCGTCAGTTTGACTTTTACACCGTTGACTTGTAAGTAAACAATTTTATAAGATTTTGTGGTGCCTTGTTACATTATTTTCATGTGTTTGCGTGCTCCTCTTAGGACTTCTTTCAACATTATGGACAACCAAAAGGCACAGATTATTAACTGACGTATTTATGTATATTTTATAACCATTTACGAATTCAAACATGTATCTTTCTTGCATTTAATTTGTATTAATATCTGTTATTGCGACTGAAGAAGGCTCCATTGAAGACCGAAACGTTTTGCGTTATTATTATTATGTATTTTTGAATTTATCTGTAGAATTATATTATGTACCTTTTACTTATTGCTCATTCATTGACCTTTTTTATCGTTTATTATCCATAATTCAGATTAAATCTACAATATTTATTTTATTTATTAAATAATGCAAATATTCGTCAGTTAAGTCGCAGGATTTATCACAAAATGAATGAACTTACGATTTCGTTACACTGCTGCAGAATATTTAGAAGCAATGTCAAAAGAACTGTTAGAATCTAACTTGAGTACAATATTTTCTACACTAAGAAATACGGACCAATATTAGAGAAGATTAAGAATTGATTTATATTGCATGACGCAACATTACGGACCTGCGACGTGGTTTTTAACGTTAAGTCCGAGCAAATGGTTATGGAATGATTTAGGAGATTATATACGTGAGGTAAATGGATGGCATAATTCTTTGTTAAGTACTAGCGTACTCGTTGCAAAATATCCTGTCTCAACATTCAGATTTCTCGACAATAAATTTAAAGCAATGCTCGATTTTATGTGTTCAAAAGATCACCCGATCGGAGAAGTAACTCAATAATTCTGGCGGCGAGAATATCAAGGTAGAGGTATACAACATTTCCACTTATTAATTTGGATTAAAAATGCGCCGATTATAGGAGAATCCTCTACTGAAGAAGTTTTCAACTTATATTACGACATATAAGCTGCAAAATGCCAAATAAAGATATTTCACTGTTATTATATAGACGTGTTAATACGCATCAGACGCATAAACATAACGATTAGTGTCTGCGTTCTAAGAAGGTAAGACGTAAAGTTGTACGTATATGTCGATTTGGATTTCCTCGTCCCGTTACTGAAGCATTGACAATAAGAGATGTCGCAAGTTTGATAGCAGGTAGAAAGCAATTAAAACATAGAAGTAGGCTTTACGATCTTTCTCGTAGACAAAATGAAAGTGATATAAATGATTATAATCCTGTTCTTCTTACTGCTTGGGAAGGAAATATGGATATACAATTTATTGGTGAGAAATNAACAATACTTTCATAATACGTCACTAAGTATATGAATAAAACGGGAAAATGTGAATTATCCGATTGCATTATCAATAGTAAGAATGACCAAAATAAATCAGTAGGAAGTTATCTTTAGAATATTGCTTTGCGATTTACGCACAACAGAGCATGTGAAGCTCTCGAAGCTGGTGATACAGTATTAGGTATTCCTTTATACGAAACTGATCGAAATACGATTATTAAATGGCTAGATGTTAAACAAATTAGATATAGAAAATTAAAAACTCGCAAAGAGATTGAAAATCTTAATAAAGAATCTACGGACATATTTTGTCCGTCTTTGATAGATACTTATTATCCAATAAGACCGAAAGAATTAGAAAATGTGTTTCTTTATAAATTTGCAAAGTGGTATGATATCACGAAGATTAAACCGAAAAGTAAGTATGTCNTATATTACAAAATAGATAAAGGTCTATATCTTAAAAGACGGAAGCGTGAATATCTTATTAATCATTATAAATACAATGTGAATACACAACCGGAGAATTATTTCTTTTCATTATTACTCATGTTTAAACTATGGCAAAAATTAGAAGATCTTAGAAACGGATGTAATAATTATACAGAATCATTTCACAAAATAAAATTAAAAGCATTACAATATTATAAAAAATAGAGGAATTGCAAAAAGCGTTTGAAACTGCAAAACAGTTGGTTCAAAAATATCTAGACGACAAATTAAACAAACAGAATATATCGCAANATGATCCAAAAAATCTAATAGGTATTCAAAATATAGAAGCTGGTGAAGCAATGCAAGATTTCAAAGCTCTTGGTAAGAAAATAGATAAAGATGTATGTGATATGATAGCAAAATTAAATCTAGATCAAAAACGTGTGTTTGATAAAGTCGTTACAACTGTAAGATCGGATAAATCACCAGTACAATTATACGTTAGCGGAGAAGGTGGTACAGGAANAAGTTTCTTAATTAAAACTATTAAATGCTAGATAAAACAAAATCTTAAGAAAGATACTGCTATAGCAGCTCCTACTGGTATTGCAGCGTTTAACATAGACGGTTTGACAGTTCATAGACTACTTCAATTGCCTGTTGAATATGGTTTTATTCCTAAATATAACCAATTATCTGATCATGTATTAAAAGTTTTACAAGCAGATCTCGAAAATGTTATTTTGAATATAATTGATGAAGTGTCGATGATATCTAATTTGACTTTAATGTACATACATCTTCGATTGTTTCAAATATTCGACACTTTTGATTCTGATGACGGTTGGTTCGGTGGAAAACACATTCTTCTATTTGGAGATTTGCTTCAATTACCTTTTGTAAACAATAATCCTGTTTTTGTAAGCGTATCAAAGAAAAAAATTGATAAATATCTCGGTTTGTTAGAGGCCACTAACTTGTGGACTACATTATTTGATTACGATGAAGTAACAATCAATATGCGGCAGCAAGAAGATGAATCTTATCGTNAGTTACTATCGAGAATTCGTATTGGATTAGTGACTCAGTCTGATTANAAAATTCTTCAAACTAGAATACTATCTTTTAAAGGTCTATTTATGGAATCTAGATTGAACGAATTTTATTAGTGATTTTCCGACAGATACCGTATGTTTACTGCCTACTTGTCATATGTGTGATATTCTCAATGCGGCGATGCTAAATCAAATTGCTGCTGAAGAAATAGTATTAACTGCGGAAGATAAAGTAAAGTGTAATTGCTATGTAAAAAAGAAAGTTGTAAAAACATTGTCAAGTCATGAAGATGATTAGGCAAAGGCCTTGTAAACGGTACAATAGGTACAATGATTTCCGTTGTTAAAGANGTATGGAATAATAATATCAAAAAAATAAATTTTCTCTTGCCGTCAGGTAAAGAATTTTCAATTGAGAGAGTATGTGTCAAATATTCCGTCATGTAAAGAATATATGTCATTAGAAAACAATTTCCATTGTGTTTGAGTTATGGAATCACTATTCACAAAAGCCAAGGACTGAGTTTGCAGAACGCTATTATGAATGTAGGTAATTTTGTATTCAGTCCTGGTCAAATNTATGTTGCATTGTCTCGAGTAACGTCTTTAGAAGGACTGTATTTAATTAATTATGACTCTGTAAAAGCTAGTAAAGAAGCTATTATTGAGTACAATAGGTTAAAAAAAAATACATAAAACTGAAACACAAATGATTTTTGTTTCAAAACAAAAGATTTGTAAAATTATAGATAATAATTTATGGACTTCATCAAAAGTAATTGCTTCTGTACAAGAACCACAAGAACCACAACAAAATGTTTAGAAAAGTACCGGTTGGATTATTTGTGGTTTCCAAAACATAGATAAAGATTCATCTTATGCAAATAAAGTTTTGTTGGTCTACTTGGTAGTTTCTCTAACAAATCGTTTTGTTGATGTAACAAATAATTAGTAGGCCCAATAAATTTTTTCTTTGCTACAAAACTGTTTCCCGTGATGAAAACGTTTCGAAGTAGATAGCTATGTACCATAGGATGTTTTGGAATAAAAATCAAAAATTCATATGAGTTTCGAATTTTCACGACAGACGAAGTTTATCCTGATTGCTTAAAATGTAAAGTAAGATTTTGTATTGTATAAGTGTACAGTTTCACATGAAGTTTCGATGTTTTACGTATAGTGAGATTCATAAACGTAGTATTTTGGATATAAAACGTGATCTATTAAATTCCACATAGGTTTACAATACATCACTTCTTTTATATTTTTCAATGTTGATAAGCGACATCGTCGTAATGTTTGCCGACAAAGATCCACAATCGTAGCGTATTATNGCTTGAACATTATACAGTGATATTATTAAAATCGTGATGGTAAATATGCCTTTGACCTTGTTCTCTATCTGAAATTCAAGTCAAGTTACCGATCCAGGTATTATGTGAGATTTTCTTAATTTATTAGGATGTACTATCCGGCTATTCTTTTTAATTCTTATTCTTATTCTATGTTATTTCTATTCAATACTTCTAAGACCTTGTGCGGTCCGGTGTATTGGTCTCCAAACTTGCCAGGTTTGGGCCCTTTTAATAAAAACACCTGATCTCCTAGCCGAAAAGTTTGCGGATTGATTTTCCGATCGTAATATGCCTTAGATTTAGTCTTAGCTTCTATCACGTTTTCTCGTGCATTCTTTTGTATATTGTGTAGCTGAGTAACTAAACTTATCAAATACTCGTCGTNACTTGCCAGTTTATCACCAGGAGCTAAGGGTGCGCTGGAAAGTATTCGCGCTATCTTACCGAAAACCACCTCGTACGGTGTATGTCTCGTGGCCTCGAGTACGCTCGTATTGTAATTAAACATCGCGAGTCCTATCCATCTATCCCAATGTTTTTGCGCGTTCGCGTATTGTTTCAAATATTCGCCTAACGCATGATGAGATCGCTCTAGGGAGTCGTTTGATTGCGGGTAAAAAGCGGTCGTGCGAAATTTACGAATTCTAAATATTTTTGCTACTTTTTTCATTAAATCGATAATAAAATTCCTGTATTGATCGGTTAATATGGCCTTTAGCGCTCCTAATACTCAAATAAATCTGTCGACGAAAGCTTNGGCTATTGTTTCCGATGTTTGATTAGGCAAAGGTATCCCCATGCAGAATTTAGTTAATTGGTTTTGTAACGTTAATATGTATTTGTTTCCTTTGTCGGTTATAAATAAAGGTCCTACAATATGCATCGCAACTTTATCGAAGGATNAACCCGGAGTGTCTGTAATTACTATGGGTTGTTTAGTCTTTACTCTTACTAATTTCTTTAGTTGGCATTGTAAACACTGTTGTATGTACCGCTGTCTATTTTTAAGTTTTCCCAACAGTAGGTACGTTTTAATCTATTATATGTTTTGTTTACTCCGCGATGGCCGCCCGTGGGTGAACAATGGACTACACCTATTATTATGGTCAAAGATCTTTAGGCGGGTATTTAAGGGTTCCATTACAAATTATTAATTTTGTTGATGCATTTAAGAAGGGTAGTTGTAAATGAGGTTTTATGTCTGTCCACGGAACGTTATTAATGTATTCTGTTTTTGCAATGCTAAGTGTTTCTAGATTTAATTTCTCGGTTAGGTCTCACAAGTTTTTTATAGCTGTGGATATGTGGGTTAAGGTTACAGTAGGCCCTTCTCTTTGTCCTTCGCTAACAGGTAGAACTAAGTGATATTGGCTTTTGTATTTTATGGCTTTCGTTATTCCTAAGGTGAGCGTGCCTAACTTGGTTACCTCGTTTTGCTCGAATAATTTTTGCGATCCATTGTCGAGTAGGTTCCCGTTAGTGTCTACGAANTACGCGACATTATCTTTTTGCAAAAATAATAATTCGCGGGATTCAATTATTTATTGATTTGGTTTCTTTAATGACAGGTTTATTTTTTTTGCGAGTCCGGGTTTATTGTCTCCTGAATCTCTGCTCTCTTCCTTCTCTTCTTCGCTACTCTCCTCGTCGTCTTCTGTATTGCTCCTTTCTTTTTCTTCCTTGTTCCTTCGTGTTTCTCTTTTGTCTGGTGGGTTGTTTCTTTTGCTAGATCTCTTGCTGTCCTGTTTCATTTGTTTTGCAGCCTGGCTACGCGTTAATACTTTGTTGACAGCGGGTGGCGCGTGGATTTGCGCCTCCTCGACTATTATCTGTTTGTCTGGTTTGTTTAATTCGTCTTGCGTAAATGGAATGGAATCAGGGTTTTCGTTTCATTCGGAGCTCTCTGGTATGGGTTCTTCGGCGTTATCTTTGATGCCAGAATAACGCAGTTCGACTTCTTCATCTTCTGATTCATTCTCGTCACTTTCCTCTAGCCATCGTGAAATTTGATCTGCATCTTTTGGCTTGTAGGGATTTAATAATTTGTTATTTTTAATAGGCTGACACTTTGTTTCTTCGATATTCACGGGATTTTGCGACAAAGCATCGGCATTCACGTTGGTTTTGCCGGCTTTAAACACAACTTCGTAGTCATATTCGACTAATTTTAATCGCCATCGTAAAATTCGCATGTTAGCGTCGTGAGCGTTTTTAAACCACATTAAGGGTTTGTGGTCTGTGATTAATGTGAATTTTTGTCCATACAAGTAAGGTCTGAAATGCTTGACGCAGTAAACTATTGCTAGTGCTTCTTTTTCGTAAGTGTCGTAGTTTAATTCATTATCTGTCAAAGTTCGCGATGCATAAGCGATCGGTCTGTCTTTATTTATTTTGCCTTGCGATAGTATTCCGCCTATAGCTATTCCGGAAGCATCCGTGGTTAGGATAAAAGGTTTAGAGAAATCAGGGTACTGAAGCACTGGTTCTTCGCACAGGTTTTGTTTTAAAATTTCAAAAGATTGATCTTATGTCTTTCCATTCAAAGCGAGTATCGTTTTTTAATAAGTTAGTTAAAGGCTTTGCTAGTTTAGAAAAATTTGGTATGAATTGTCTATAGTATCCGGTTAATTCAAGAAATTGTTTAATGTTTTACGGATTTTTGGGTTGAGGAAAATGTTTAACCGCTTCTAATTTTTTCGGATCTGCCCTGACTCCATTTTTCTAAGTATGTGTCTTAAATAATTTACTTCTGTTTCTAAGAACTCGCATTTGTCCGGTTGTAATTTTAAGTTAGCCTGGCGTAGTCGGTTTATTAAAGCGTCGTATTTTTTTGTGTTCTTCTAAGGTGGCTGCATATATTACAATGTCGTCCATGTAAACAAACAGCTTTTGTTCCTGTAATCCCGACAAGACTATATCCAGTACTCGCTGNAATGTTGCAGGAGCATTTTTAAGTCCGAACGGCATTCTTTCNAATTCATAATGCCCAAACGGAGTAGTAAAAGCAGTTTTATGGCTGTCGGCAGGATCCATCTTTATCTGATGGAAGCCCGATGCTAAGTCTAACACAGAGAAATATTTAGCTCCTTTCAGTTGATCGAGAATATCAACAATATTAGGCAGTAGATACGCATCGCTTATTGTTTTTTCAGTTAATGCTCTTTTCCATCGTTTGTTTCCCTTAGAATCTTCTTTTCTAGGCACTATCCATATGGGTGTGTTATACGGTGACTGCGATGGTTTGATAATTCCACCATTTAACGATTCTACTTGGTAAGTAATTTCCTCTTTATGGAGCTGAGGGAATCTGTATTGACGAGTGTTTATTGGTTGTTTATCTACGATCTTTATGCTATGTTGCAAAACGTGTGTTGCTGTTAGTTGCTCTCCAGGAATATGAAATTTATCCTGGCTGTTTTTTATTAGTTTTATTACATTTTCTTTCTCTCGTTCGTTTAAATGATCGACCCGCAATAAATCAATAATCGACGACAATCTTTTCTCCTCAGGTGAGTTTTCGTTATCTCCGCTTACTACTAAACAATTTTTGTCGGAAACGAATGCCTCAAGGGAGTCTTCTATTATTCCCATCTTTCGAGTCGATTTTCTTTTTCTCANAAATTTGTCAATCATTTCTTGAAATTTACCATGCAGTGCTTTTGTTATTTTCGAGGACTGTGTTTTTTTGTCTAGGTATTTTCAGGATTTGAGAGAGAGTTTTGGAACTATTGGGTTTGTTTTTCTTAATGTTTTTAAAAGTTCTTCAGCAGTGACGTATTTTAATTCTTGTTTATTTTTTTTGTTTACTTTTTTTTTATCATATATCTCGTCCTCCTTAGAAATTTAATTCTTTCTAGGGAGGCAATACTTCCCCTTTTTTAATTTTTATTCAAAGAGGTTGACTTGCGTTGTGAGGTTTGGGAAATTCCCTTCTCGCAATCAAAGGATTCAAAGAAACTTGGAGGAGCCTGGAAACTCCCTTCTTTGTAGGTTACAAGATTATTAATTACAGATGAAGTTTGGTTACTTTCCCTACCAAGGATTTTAAGATAGGAGGTTTGGTAAATTTTCTCCTCACAACTTGAAAAGACACTGCTGATCTTGTTAGATTCACGAATTTTATTTTTGTGTTCCTTACTTTCATTTTCTCTCTCGTTTTGCTTTGCTTCTCTGCGCATTTCTTTATTTTGTATGTTTCTTTTATTATGTTGGTTTACGTCCTCAATGTTTTTGTTTTCAGTTAGGGTTTTGTAGTCGATCGTATTTTTAGGCATAAATAGGAAAGGTTTGTTCAGCCTATTCTCGCCTGCGGGAGGCCGTTTTTTGTACCTCTAGTAGTTCACTAAGAGGTTTAAGGTACAGCGTCGGCACTCGTACTTTAATTTTGTCATCTAGCGTGTTTATGACATTGAAATAAGCCCTTCCCAATACATTTTCTACTATAATGTTCCCGAGATAGATTCCGTGTGTTAGTTTTAATCTCGGAATGTATCCGATTTTTACTTCGGGATTTCCAATTCTAACGTAAAATAGCAATTCTGATCTTGGCGCTATAACAACGGTTTCCGGCGAAAAGAATAGTAGTTTAATTCCACCTACATTTAAATGTCCTTGCGCGTAATCTATCTTTGTGAGATTTCAGTTAAAAAAGTCGTTTCCTAAGATTCCGGATTGCGATATAGGAAAATCGTCGGAAACAATATAGAAGGTTACGGGTATATCGTATAAATGTAATGTGATTTTGCCGTATGTGTACACGGGGTAGCTATTTATTCCGCTCAACTTTAAAATGCTTGATCTATTACTTTTTACATTGTCAGGAACAAAATTCTTTTTAATGACAGTGGGTCCGGAACCGGTGTCTAATAATAACGTTGTATGCGAGATAGAATCGGCTAGTTTAACCCGAACGGGTAGGCAAACGGCAATGCCTATCGAGATTTATGGTTACTGNATGTATATCTGGTTCGGGTTTGTTTACGTGGATGCTAGACTAGTCGACGTCGCTGGGTGTGAACCTCGTTTGGTCCCCTGTGGCACACCCGGCTTCGAAGGGCCGTTGAAGTTTCCCGGATTATTTCTGCGGTTGTTACTTGCGATTCATAACTTGCAGTTCTCAAGAAAGTTCCCCGGTTTTTTGCAATATCGAGAAGAAACCGCTGTTTGATTGTAGCTGTTTTGCGCGGCATTCTTTCGCGGTGTGACCATTTTTATCGCAAANTTGAATAATCTCGATTGCCGTAAAGTATCGCGTTGTTTGTTCTGTTCCCGCCAGCAATTAGTCGCGGAGTGTCCGGCCTTGTCACACCACTGGCAAATTACAGATGGTTTATTACCTGCGGGTTTATTACCTGCCCGACATTCTTTNGCGCTGTGGCCAGTTTTCGAGCATAATTGACAAGCAACGCGATTTTCTTGAACTACATTTATGTTTCGTCGCGCGCGCGGTTCGCGGAGGTAATACTTATCGGCGCTATGCCCGCGTTGTTTACAAATTTGGCATATTAAGATCTCGGGCCCTAAATCAGCGCGTTTCGAGTTGGTATTTTGGGAAAACAACCAGTGATGTAAGATCTTGCAGGCTAGCACTAAGAGCACCAAGGTGGTGGAAGTCACTGGGAGCACGCATACAAGCGAGAACCGCCGTCCGTGTGCGTGACGTCACGCTCCGCTGTTCGGCTTGTAAAAGAGCGCAGACATACTATGTTCTGCTTCGCTTCCACCACGCCCGCTACGCGAACAAGACACTGAGGCTAGAAAGCAATGTTTCGTTACGCGCTTGTAGCCTATGACAATATGACAACGAAAAATATTTTTCCATGACTTACAATCTTAAAAAAAGTAGTAATATTATTGATAAGGATGAGTTAAACATCTCAAGATGCATTTTTTTGTTATTACATTTTTATTAACTCTTATTAAAAGTTAACTGCAATAATTTTAAAGTTTTTAGATAATTTTTAGATCATTGAAAAACATTTAATATATACAGGGTGTCCCAGAATTAGTTTAACATCTCTCGTAGACAGGTAGAAGGAATAAAACTGAGGTGAAAAGTCCTATACCATTTTGCTAGATTCGCAATAGTTACCGAGATTTTAATTAACAAAGATCCGCGAATAAGCGTGCAT